ACTCGACCAGCAGAGGCGCAACACCAGCACCGGATATTCGATATGCTCAACAACATCTTCCCAACACGTCCAGTTGATAACCAGACCAGCCAACCAGCAGCGATCACCTGCGACGACCAGCAGCGATCATCTACGACGATCTACCAACCTCCCCCGTATACTATCTGTTGTAATTACTAAGGGGGGTTTCGACACCAACTTCGACCAGCAATGCCTGCACTGCAACGTCCAACCGTCGACACGACCGGAACGTCTGCACCTCGACTCCAACCGACGACACGATCAGTCCGACCCCCATTACTATGATTGGCAGACCAATATATCCCACTATCTCTTCTTTATATAATAAACTTAGCATTGATCATACATATCCTCGTTCTGTTGTCCATTTTGTTTCACCTTGTCAGATTTAATGTCTTCGATACGAAAAATGTTACCGGATCTCTTGTGACCTCATCACCTTATGATACGGGGGCGCTCGGGCCGTGGTTTCATATCGTGCCCCCCTCCAGGGTGTCCGCTACACAAGTGCCACTTATCAGCATATCAACCCCATTATGATGTGCTCGTAAATGATAGAAAGATATTTTGCACTGATACCTGCACTTGAAAACAATCTTTATAATAAAATAATAATTAATCTAACTTTATCAGTTATCAACCTAACTTCTCATTTCCTTCCAGACACCACACTAAACTACCGAGCCTACAAGCAAAGTAAAAAAAATGCGTGAATGAACAACGAAGAAATGTGCAAAAAATCCACACGTGCATAAATAAAATATATTAACAAGATAGCCTCCTCGGAATGACTGAAAAAGACTGGTTCAACACATTCCACTCTTTTTTCAAAAAAGAGTAAATTTTTTATTAAATGCAGGAAAAAACAAGTAATTTGTCCCGTGGTGGTAGGGACCAATGAAAAGTTCCGCGCCAAAATAAAAAACAAGATGGCTAAAGGCGGGAAAAAAGTTTCTTGAAGAAAAAGGTTCCAGATAAGTCAATGTACATGGTAATATTCATACAAGGAAAAATACTCACTGCGAGTTTAGGTAATGTGAGTGAATGTTATGTATTTTTTTTTTTTTTTTTTTTTTGTACTGGTTCAAAACAGATTTCTGACGAGACCCAAAGTGGACGACGGATTGTTTTGTATGTTCTGCATCGTCTCGGATTAGGACTTTGAATCGTCTCGAGGGAGTAGGACTTTGAATGACGAGTCTCAAAGGGCCGAGGAATTAATATTTTGGATGTTTTCATCATCGAAAGGACTTTGAATGACGAGTCCAAAAGGGACGAGGAATTAATATTTTGATGTTTTGCATCAGTCTTGAAAAGAAATTTGAATGACGAGCCAAAAGGAACGAAGAAAAATTATTTGGTATTGCATCGTCTCGGAAAAATGATTATGAATGACCAGCCAAAAGGACGAAAAATTAATTATTTGGTATTGCATCGTCTCAGAAAAAGGATTCTTGAATGACCAGCCAGAAGGGACGAAGAATTAATTATTTGTGGTCGCATAGTAAGATATCCTTCGTCAGTCAAACTGAAATATTGACGTGGATAAAAATGAGTCTGCTCAGGTCAGAGTCTGGAACACAACTGGTCTTTGAAACAACAGTTTGTCGTTGACGTCACAAATTTTTCGCGGCAAGATTTCAAAAATCTAATTTGCATAAACAGTAGTAGCAAGGACGTTTGACTACTGACCAAAACAGTTACTACTGTATTAGACCGAACGAAGGAGGAAGGGGGTGTCAAACGCGCGCGCGCACACACACGAGTGACGGAGAAAGGGAGGCAACTCGCGCGCGCGTAAAATGTCGTAGATGGAATAATACCTTATTCCACACAGCCCTCCTCCTGGATCAAATGTCGCAGACATTTGACTAATAATAGTAGAATGTTTCAAATTTCTTTGGAAAGGTGACTTTTCGACCGGAGCTGGTATACTTAGGTTTGTCGAGAGAAACAGGTGTCTTAAAATTCTCCTGAACTTGCGGAGTTGATTGGGAAGTAGTATGAGACGACGGTTTCTCTATAAAGGCAGGTTTCAACCGATCTATTGAAACGTTGTCGGTGTGAATACCTTTTGTATTTGGAAATATTTGTCCGCGCGTTTAAGAACGCGGTATGGGCCTGTGTAGGCCGGCGTAAGAGGCCGCTTAACAGAGTCGTTACGTACAAATACAAATTCACAGTCTTTTAGCTGGTGCGGTAAATAGATATCACTCGGGCAGTGCCGCGGTGGTGTATAGCATAAGTTTGCCATTTTAAGGCGTAAGTCCTGAATAAAAGAGGAAGAAACTGGTGGTGTGGTCACAGCTGGCGAAAAATATTGGCCAGGTAAAGATAACGAAGTACCAAATACAAGCTCTGCAGGGGAGCATTTCAAGTCATCCTTAAGAATATTTCTTAACGATAGAAGGATGAGAGGTAATTCATCGACCCAATTATTATTCTCATGCTTCGTTGATAGCGAAGCCTTAAGGGTGCGATGGAATCGTTCCACCAGCCCATTAGCACAGGGGTGATACGCTGTAGTACGTATGTGCTTTGCACCAAGGAGTTCAGTGAATTCCTTGAAAAGACACGACTGGAACTGAGCTCCTCTATCTGTAGTAACCACTTTAGGAGTCCCAAAATTGAAATCCAATCGCGTAAAATAGCTTTTTGCGACAGTCACAGCAGTGGTATCTTTAACAGGGATGGCAGTAGGCCATCGGGAAAAACGATCCACTATAGTTAGAAGGTAGGAATAACCGTGGCAGGTTGGTAAGGGCCCAACTAAGTCCAGGTGTATATTAGTAAAACGAGCATCAGGCTCACTGAAAGTGCCCACGGGAGATTTTTGTGTCTATGCACCTTACACTTCTGACATTGTAAACAAGTATTAACCCATTCGCGAATGTGAACGTTCATATTCGGCCAAACGAAACGGTCCGAAATTAACTTAACTGTGGCTCTTTTGCTGGGGTGTGAGAGTCCGTGTAGGTGGTCAAAAACCTGTCTACGAAGAGACGGAGGAATATAAGGTCTTGGAGATTTGGATTTTACATCACAGTATAAGACCTTGTTACTAAAAGGAGCTGGACATTTCTGAAGTTCTAAAGAAGTGTCTGATAACACATGCTTCAGAGTTATGTCCGCTTCCTGTTCGTCGGCGATCAAATCTTGACTGAGTGCATCAGTATGCACGACAAACATTTCAGTACGAGATAGGGTATCGGCGACAGTGTTATCCGAACCCTTAATGTACCTAATATCAGTAGTAAATTGCGATATATAGTCCAGGTATCTGATCTCCCTCGCAGTGTATTTGTCCGAATTAGTGGACATAACGGACGTTAAAGGTTTGTGGTCCGTAAATATAACGAAGGACCTACCCTCGAGGAGGTGTCTAAAATGCTTAATGGCACGAAAAATAGCCAACAGTTCACGAGAAAATGTACTGTAGCGTGACTGGGCAGGAGAAAGTTTAGCGGAAAAGAACGCTATAGGTCTACGTTTAGAAGGAGTGACTTGTTCAATGACCGCGCCTATTGCTGTTTCGCTAGCGTCAGTGGTCAGGTAGATATCCGATTTAGGGTCGTCCTCTAAGAAACTAAGCTTAGAAAAATTGCCTAGAGCGGTTTTAGCTGCTCGAAAGGCGTCCAAGGCTTCATTCTCAAGTATAATAGTCTTATTCTTCTTCTTCTGTAATAAATTGGTAAGGGAGTCAGGATGTTAGAACAGTTTGGAATAAACCTCCTGTAGAAGTTGATCATCCCTATAAAGCGTCTCAACTGTTTAATAGAAACAGGGACGGGAAACTCAGTGATAGCTTTAATCTTTTCAGTTAAAGGGGCAATTCCATTTGCATCGACGTGATGTCCTAAAAATTCTATATGGTCTGATCCGAAGACACATTTGTCCAGGTTTAGACGAAATCCGTAATGGGACAAACGTTGAAGAACTTCGTGTAGGTGTTGTTTATGCGAGGCAGCGTCCTCGCTAGCTATCAGAATGTCGTCAATGTAATCGAAAACAAAAGGGAGTCCACGCAGAACCTCGTCCATAAGACGTTGGAATGTTTGTGCTGCGTTGCAAAGGCCGAAAGGCATTTTCAAAAATTCAAATAGACCGAAAGGTGTAGTAACAGCAGTTTTTGGGACATCAGCAGCAGCTACTGGCACCTGATAATATGCTTTTGCTAGATCTATTTTAGTAAAAATCTTTGCGCCTTGTAAACCAGAAGTGAAATCGTGGAGGTGGGGGGGGATTGGATAACGATCCCGGACGGTGATGGAATTCAATCTTCTATAATCCACACAAATTCTATAGTCCTCCTTTCCTGGTTTAGGTACTAAATGAAGAGGGGAAGCGTAAGGACTGTCGGACGGACGAATAACGCCCTCTTGTAGCATGTCGTCGAAAGCTTTCTTTGCGAATTTTAATTTGTTAGGTGCTAGACGACGAGGACGGGAAAAAACAGGTTGACCAGTGGTCTTAATAAAGTGCTGTGTTTGATGTTTAGTTGAATCAATAGATCCAGCAGGACGCATGAGGTCCTGGTACTGATTCAATAAATCTAAGTACTCTTTATTGTGGCACGTTGCCACGGTGATGCCAGTGGTAGTAAGTTTAGAATAAGTGCCAAGAACACACAGACTTGTTAAGTTGTCAGTAAGGGAATGATTGTTCATTCGCACGGCGAGATCATAGTGCGCCAGGAAATCAGCACCTAGTATCGGCATCTGGACGTCAGCGACAGTAAAATTCAAGTAAAAGTCTCGTCGCATCCCTATGTTTAGGGTAAGGGACTTCGTACCGTAAGTATTAATACTGGAACCATTTGCTGCTTGTAAGCGGAGCTGAAAAGGTTGTTGACGAGCTTTATCACGCACGGGTAAGACACTAATGGCAGCGCCGGTATCAACCAAAAACGTAAATTATTACGCGTGTCCGTCACATAAAAAAGGCGACTAAGTTTTGGTGAAAATGCCTTGCCAGCGAGATTAGTCGCTTTCACTCGCTGGCGGTTTTGTTTTCCGCGACCGCAGTATAAGTACACGGCTTGACGCAGTAATAAGCTTTAGACCCAAATCTTCGGTGGTAGTAACACATAGTAGGAGTGGCATCCTTATCTCGGCTGGACGAGCGTGGTCGACTTCTGAAGCGCCGGCGGAAGGGAACCGGCTTCGACCACGGCTCTTTAGAGCTAATGTTAAATCCTTAACTTGGCGCTGCAATTCCTCGACTGTTTTTTCCAAGGACCTGTGGTCTCCAGTCGCTTCAGCACTGTGTACCGGCGTTGTCTGATTATCCAGTTGCGAGAAAATACGATCCGCGGCGTCCGCTAATTGATCGATCGAGGTGTTTTCGGACATTGGCGCCAAAATTTGGGTTATGGTGGTGGGGAGACGGTCCAGCCACAAGCTTTTTAATATAGAGTCGGCCATGGTATTTTTGCCGAGTCGGCTTTTCATATAACGAAGAAGTTGGGAGGGAGTCCTGCCATCACAAGTTAGGTTGCTAAATAGTTCCCGGATTAACGACTCCTCTGTACGGCCCATTCTCCTTAAGATTGCTTCTTTTAACCGCGCGTAGGGTTCTACTTCAGGAACGGCTTCTAGGAAGTCTGAGACCTCATCAACAATGGCGGGTGGCAAAACCGCCACCACGTGGCCAAACTTGGTCTTTTGGTCTGTAATCCTTCTGACTGTGAAAATGGCTTCCATTTGTAAGAACCAGTTCTTTATATTCCCTTCATGAAAGGGGGGAAAAGGAGCGACGGCGGCGGACATGTTCGCCAACTCTTCAGAGTCACTAGTCGTCATTCCGGCTATCGAATTTAAGCACGTTTATATTTCAGCTTGCTCAGAAATATGTTAGCAAGGTTGCAAAATTATTACGTGTTCAATTCACGTCGTAAGGTCACCAATCTTGTTGCGGACCCGGTAGGGTGCAGTGCTGGATTATACTGAGTGGCCTTGTGCCAGACACCACACTAAACTACCGAGCCTACAAGCAAAGTAAAAATGCGTGAATGAACAACGAAGAAATGTGAAAAAATCCACACGTGCATAAATAAAATATATTAACAAGATAGCCTCCTCGGAATGACTGAAAAAGACTGGGTTTCAACAAGAGTAATTTTTATTAAATGCAGGAAAAACAAGTAATTTGTCCCGTGGTAGGGACCAATGAAATAGTTCCGCGCCAAAATAAAAAACAAGATGGCTAAAGGCGGGAAAAAAGTTTCTTGAAGAAAAAAGGTTCCAGATAAGTCAATGTACATGGTAATATTCATACAAGGAAAAATACTCACTGCGAGTTTAGGTAATGTGAGTGAATGTTATGTTTTTTTTTTTTTTTTTTTTTTTTTTTTTGTACTGGTTCAAAACAGATTTCTGACGAGACCCAAAGTGGACGACGGAATGATTTGTATGTTCTGCATCGTCTCGGAGTAGGACTTTGAATGACGAGTCTCAAAAATCGCCGAGGAATTAATATTTTGGATGTTTTGCATCATCTCTGGAAAAGGATTTTGAATGACGAGCCAAAGGGACGAGGAATTAATTATTCTGGTGTTAGATAGTCTTGTAAAGAAATGTCGAATGACGAGCCAAACGGAGAAAGGGGAAAAAATTATCTGGTATTGCATCGTCTCGCCAGAAAGGGTTTTGAATGACCAGCCAAAAGGAACGAAGAATTAATTATTTGGTATTGCATCGTCTCGGAAAATGATTATGAATGACCAGCCAGAAGGACCAAAAGAATTAATTATTTTGGTCTTGAATATCTGACTAAAGTAAGATATCATTTCGTCAGTCAAACTGAAATATTGACGTGGATAAAAATGAGTCTGCTCAGGTCAGAGTCTGGAACACCAACTAAACAAACGAAAAATTTTTTTTTGAAACAACAGTTTGTCGTTGACGTCACAAAATTTTTTCGCGGCAAGATTTCAAAAATCTAATTTGCATAAACCGTAGTAGCAGGACGTTTGACTACTGACCAAAACAGTTACTACTGTATTAGACCGAACGAAGGACACATATTTTTATAATCTTGTAAATATAAAATTATTCATGTAAATAAATAGTTCTTAATATCTTTGTTGTTAATTCTCAAGAATAAAGAAAATATATAAATCCACTTCATACAATCATACATTATTAAAATTCTAATCATTGCTTTTTAAAACATTAAGCATTGCCATGGGAGTCAAAAGTGTATACAGTAATATCAGTGTCAAGAGAATAAACATCCTTTTGACACACCGTTAATTTTATGGGTACAAAAGTTAAACATTGTCAAAGACATTGTTCCTGTAATATCATTTTTAGCATCATTAACAATCAAATCAGTAAAATGTCAGAATATACTTTAAATAACAATTTATATGGTTGTACAATAATTTCTTATAAAACTTTCAGTCATTTCTCAAAATAATCTATCAAAGCAATATTATTTTCATGGTTAATAATTAAATGTTCACAATGATCACTAAAAAAAAATTACAAACATTACATTAATTACTAATAATCTTTCTCTTCTCTACTTCAAGCTAGCTTTCATAAGAATACCAATATCCTAAAATGTATGATAAATGAACAATTTATGATATACCCCCATGTATGATAAATTAACTCATTATCAACAGGAAACAAAATGGATTGAATTAAAAGTGAATGACTCTTAAATAAAGCTTTATTTTTTCAGATTATATAACCAGTGTGATAAATTGAGTGCAAATATAAAGAGTAGTTACAGAATTTTCTTCTTATGTTATTTAATTTATTTCTGTCAGCATTTAAAATCTCATACTGATATATTTTGTATGGAGGATTCTATGAAGGGTTATCACATATTAAAGAAGTGTGTATATAAAGAAATAGTTTGGAAATTAAAGTACAACAGACACTCATTTGTGGACACCATTGTTACTAACAAACAGCACTGCCCCACAATTTAAGCATTTTATTTCAATGTGTTTCTTTATCAAGTTAAGTAAAAAATTTGCATTTAACTTTATCCTTTTATATTGAAAAATTAATGTGCATATCTGTTAATCTATCTAGCTTGTTACTTACATCATTCGCTGTATAAATTTACATCATTCACTGTATAAAGAATGTAAAATATTACCATTTAAGCAGTATATGTGTCATAATTTTAAAAAATGTGTGGTATGAAAACAACAAATAAAGTATTTTTTAATAACTACAGATTTCATATTTTTAAAATATTTTATAAACTACTGATAGAATAAGAAAAATGTGGTGATTAATCGTATATTATATAGAGTGAAATCTAGATAAAAAAAATTCTTAAATAAAAATTGAAACTTGCATTATTTACAATACATTATTGTAAATAATGCAAGTTTCAATTTTATCCAATCATTTTAGACATACTATTCATAAAGGAAGCTAAAAATGTAAAAATCTGAACAAACAAAAGAAAAATTCAATGAGGAAATCTTTAAAAAGAGACTTTTACTGATAAATAAGTGACTTAACAAGATTGGCAATGAATAAAAGAACACATTTTGTTTATTGTTGCCATGACAAGCTTTTTGTTATATTAAAGTTATTGCTGCAATACTTCTTTTTGAAATGAACTAATTACTCTTTTTCAATAAACTTCTTCATAGTCTCATGTTGTTTGTACTTCCAGTATCAGTTCCGGTTTCTAGACATAAACAGTTTTACTTGACTTGAATTAATTACAAATTCTTGGCTCCAGAAATGTTGGCATCGATCGTTAAGTGAAATGGAAATTGATTCTACATTCAAATTTTCGTTTTTGTTCTTCCTGCCTTTTCAAATTCTATGTATTATATGCAGAAACATGTCTATTCACCATCTCAATTACTCATCTTTTCCATAAAATGAATGAGTATATTTTAGTCAGTTGTCTGATGCGCTGATTGAGAGCATGCATGCTGTACGAACAAAGAATTTGATATTTCTTTATTTTCTTGTTTTCTTTGCTTACTTAATAAACAGAGACTATGATGAAAATGTTTAAAATAAAAACCAGTCAACTGCATCACTCAGTCAATCACATTGAGCTTTATATAGCAAAATAAATGTCTTTTTTTAAAATCTCAGTCAATAAAATATTTCGTTATTAAATGTGTGCTTCATTTTCCTTAATGTTTCTTTATGACTTTCTGTTAAACTGCTTTTACTAACACTGATAAATAATATGTCTAGAAGATTGTGTTCAAAAGTAATGTAAATTATTTTACAGGAATGGAAATATCAAGATATTTTATTTCAAAGAATCCTTTTTAAGTATCTATTCATTTATTATTTACATTATTCGGACTATTGTCCTCATCTTTTTCGCCATATCTATCACAACGTTTCGGCCGTTGTACGCTCCGGCCTTCTTCAGCAGAATGTTCTCCACTGCCTTAACCGAGTATTGAACTGACACTAATTGGGTCCTGTCACTAACCAACGCCTTTATCCACTGTGCCATGTGTCTGTGCATGAATTTCTGGGTATTATAAACCTAATGTCTTCAGCGACCATTTTTACCAGTGCTCATATTGCAATTTTTTGCTGATATCATTTCATTATTTTACCAGAGCTCATATTGCAACTTTTGTTGTTGTTATCATTTTTCTCTGGCACTCCTTATTACTGGTTCCCATATTGTATTCATTTCTATGCTTGCTCGGCTCAGAAGATTTTTGTGGTCTAGCATATGTGCTGATTCCTTAAGTTTACGAATTTTCGAATGGTGTTCTTTGTCTATGATCTCAACCTGATCCCACAGAGGGTGGTGATCTCCCTTCTCTCTCCATATGTGGTCAGCCGACCAAGCATAGAAATGAATACAATATGGGAACCAGTAATTGCAAGTTGGTACAAATAAAAGTTAAATATTAAAAATGTGCCTAAATAGTATTTGAATGCCCTGTTTGAAAAAAATCATAAATGAAATTTATAAAAATAAAAATTAAATAAAAAAAAATATATAAATAAAAATGACAAATGTATTGACATTGAAACTCAGACGATGTGTTAGAACTTAGACACTACCACAAATTTTTACTTGGAAAAAAAGGAAGTTTGTATCAATAGACAGATACCCCAGACCCCACCTTGACTTGAACGACTTGTTAGCTGCAATACATTAAATACATGAGTTTTCTAAATAAGTTAAATATTAACATCCCTAAAGTAAAAAAGATGGAATTTTCCTTAACCCCAGCATCTCAAAATATCAAATTTATCTGTACTTATAAATTAAATGAATCAATTTCAAAAAGTTAATTTTTGCATCGCTTGAAAATGGAACGGAACTTTATGTATTTTAATTTAATTTGTATGATTGAATTTAAATTGAGGTTTCAGTTTTGACACATGGAAATTGAGGTGCTGCAATGATTATATATTAAAAAAAAATTATAATATATATATATATATATATATATATATATATATATATATATATATATATATATCGGGGAAACTTATTGCAACTTTTTTGCCAGAAGAAACAATTTTGTGTAATATGAAATTAATTTTTGATTTTCCCTATCCTCGTTGTACTCGTGACATTTTTGTATTTCCCATTTCTTTATTCCTTAGGATAAATTGTAAATAAGCCACATTATTTAAGTAGTGTAAGTACAGAAAGCTCCTCTTTGCTTAGCAAGAAGAGAAGAAAAAGCATTGAATTCCTGGTCTATTCCCCTTGAGCAGAGAGCATGAAAAATATGGCAGATCAAAGAGAGAAAAGCAAAATTTTTGCTGCTTGCCTTCCCGCCGTATTAAGCTAG